AGCTGACCGGAACACTGCTCCCATGACCTTGGAAATCACAGAGATACTGTAAATCCTTCGACTTCCTCTCCAGGGTGTGGTACGAGCGACATTTATAGTGGTAAAGCAGACTGCACCTGCCTACACATTTGCCCTGTATAGTCTGGCATAAATCTGTTGGACGTGAGTGGTCATGGATCATATGACATCTATAGTGCCTGCTCCCAACTCTCCCAACCCGAAGCTCATTAGGCCACAAGGAACAAGTTTCTGTTACGAGATTGGGAATATATTGGGAAAAATTCTTGGTGCTGTAGATTTCCTTTGTGGAGTAAAAAAAGGGGGAAGGTTTAATGCCACCTTAATAAAATCTTGCGAATCTTAAATTGCTTTACTTTACTCTCTCTTAAATGCTGATAACATAAACTTTTCTATCGGCTTTGCCTCTTCTAAACGAGGTACAGGGTCAGAGGAAATGGTAATCTAACAGAGAAAGGTTTAATAATTGTCAGATGAGCAAATCGCCAAGCTAAAGTGTATTAATTATGAGTGCCATTCCAAAAAGTTGACCTATTTACTTTTCTTCCATTGATTCCAACTTCCTACATTTCCATTTCAAAAGGAAAGATCATTAAGCCAAAGAGACATGCATTGATTTTCAAATGCTCCCTGAAGTTACTGAGCTGACTGAGCTTTATATTCCATTTAACCCTTCTTCTGTTCCTCAGAGCCTCTACAGCTCCGAGGGCTACCGGGTGTATAAGGCTTGTCTAGCATCACAGGTTGGTTGACTTCTGCCAAAATCTCTCAATAACCCCGATGTCAGATCCCTGCCAAAAGAAGCCAGGCAAAGTCACTTGAGCTTTTTAACAAATTAACCTGACTGACAGGCGTGATCTGCTTAAGCCACTGATTTATTAGTGGGCCGTGTTACAATATGCAGGCACTCAAAATGGATCTACTTGTCTCATTGCTTCCATCAGCCTCTCACTCGTAGAAGCATCATTCATAGTCTTTTCATGACAAGTTACAAATACGTTTTGCACATGCACTCATCTTTTAGGCATTCCCTTTCACGGCGTTGTATTATAGATAAGGTATACAAGGGGAATCGTTAGGACTTTATTTATCATTAGATAGTTATAGGCCAACATTGAAGGCAACCTGGTAGGAGCTGACATAAACACAACTACAATTTGGTGAACATTTTCATTTTTCATTTATTCCTGCTTTATTCAAGGGGTCTATTTTTTTGAAAATTTGCGGAAGAAATGTCACAAGCATTCTCCCAGACGTCATGAATTCTCACCATAGTTTGCCTAACATGTTTATTTCCTATGATCCTCTGCGCCATCTAGTACCCATTCTTGGTATTTTCCTGATTGGGGTATTTCAGAAAATTACTGCAGTATGGCCACTAGATGGAACTGATGAGCATAGAAAATAAAAGTATTAGGCAAAATGCAGAGAGAATTTGTGAAGGCCGGGATAATGTTTGTGACATTCATCCACAATTGTTTTTATTAATACCCCAAAGTGTATATGAACTAAAAATTTATTTTAAAGTGATTCTAAAGGTTATCATTTTTTAAAATAACAAACATAAACTAACTGCTCTGTGCAATGGTTTTGCACAGAGCAGCCCTGATCGCCTTTTTTTGGGGGGGTCCTCCGCTGGCGGTCCTCGTTCCTCCCCCTGCCGAGTCCCCCCAGTAACAAGCCTCTTGCTATGGGAGCACTCAAACAGGCTCGCTCCTGAGCCATGCTTCTGTGAATGGACATTGATCATTCACACACCTAGAGTGACTTGTCCCCACCCCCTGCTCTCTCCTCACTGGCTCACTGGCTGTGATTGACAGCAGCAGGAGCCAATGGTTCCTGCTACAGTGTGAGCCAATGAGGAAAGACGCCAATGAAAGTTGATGCTTTCATGCACATCACAGGATCGAGATGGGGCTCAGTTAAGTATAAGGGGGCTTGGGGGAGGAAGCTGCACCCAGAAAGATTTTTACCTTAATGCAGAGAAGCATTCCCCATGCAGATTTAATGTACCTTCTACTAATGTAATGGATATTTGCCCTCTAAGCCTCTAAGCATCAGACACCCTGCGATCTCCCATATTCTCTGGCTCTGTACTCCCCTTGTCCTTTTGAGGAGCACAGAGCTGCAGGACAGAGGAGATCACAAGAAGTGTGGAGCTTAGAGGCTTGGATGGCATGCACCTCTTACATTAGTAACCTGAGAGTATAGACCAATAGTCTCCTAACTACAGCCTGCAGGCCAGATGGGTCCCTTTGCTTGCTTTTATCTGGCCTTTGGGGCACTAATCTTCCCACTGATATGAGACGCTATTCCTTCCACTGACACCAATGATGAGGCACCGTACCTTCCACTGGCACCAACAATGGGGCACTATTCTTTCCACTGACACCAACAATGGAGCACTAGTCATTGCACTGCCACCAATAATGGGACACTATTCCTCCCACTGACACCAATGACGAGGCACCGTACCTTCCACTGGCACCAACAATCAGGCACTATTCTTTCCACTGACACCAACAATGGAGCACTAGTCATTGCACTGCCACCAATAATGGGACACTATTCCTCCCACTGACACCAATGACGAGGCACCGTACCTTCCACTGGCACCAACAATCAGGCACTATTCTTTCCACTGACACCAACAATGGAGCACTAGTCATTGCACTGCCACCAATAATGGGACACGATTCCTCCCACTGACACCAATGACAGGGCACTATTATTCCCACTGACACCAACAATGGTGTACTATTCCTTCCACTGACACCAACAATGGAGCACTAGTCATTCCACTGCCACCAATAATGGAACACGATTCCTCCCACTGGACACACGGGGGATTTATCCCACTGACACCAACAATGGTGTACTATTCCTTCCACTGACACCAACGATGGGGCACTATCCCTTCTTCTACTGACCTCATTTTATTTACTGCAGTTTGGAACTTTTCTAATGAACTTTGGATAGGTAGGGTTTTGTATATCATTTTAACAGTAGTTTTTGCCAAACTAGTCACATGACACAAGAGGTGGAGCATGTAATTTAGCATTTCAGGGTGACTAATGCAGCAAAATGTCTTCTACAGCATGAAAACAATCTGTTTTAGCTCATTCTTGCTACAGCAACATCCAAATCAGTCTGTTCTCTAACACTACCTGTAATTATAGCAGAACTAAACTGTATCAGAACACCACCAAAAAAACTCAATTTTTAAGCTAACCCATCCATTTAACCTACCTGTAGCATTTCTAGCCACGGCCACCTTGAGTAAGGGAAGATGATTCATGTAGCTTTTATTTCCTGGAATCCATCTGCCCTTAGCTCAGGCATGCAGGCAGGAGGGTGTGCTTAGTTGAGAAAGCCCCTCCTCCTCTCCTCCAAATAAAAGGAAACAAAAAAACACCTAAGAAGACTCCATGGATATATGACAATAACCTTTGGCACCATTTGCCCCACCCTATTAGATTGTAAGCTCATGAGAGTAGGACCCTCTTAATACTCGTCTCGATTGTAGTTGTACTGTATCCCTCTATATTGTAATGAGCTGTGCAAACTGTTGGCACTATTTCTAAGTCATGTATAATAATAATAATATTAATAATGATGACATAATTTTTGCCTAGGCCAGAAACCAGGAAGCAACTAAAGAAATCTTAAAAAAAGGAGTTAAAACAAGTAAATATAATGTACCTACCTATCTATGTATGAGTGCCAGTATCATAAGGATTCAAAATAGTTAATTCTGATTGAGAGAATTTAGTTCTGCTTTAACCAAAACAATATTGATTTATTTTTGCTGCGCTTTGCACTTACCTACAGAGGTAAACTATCACTATGGATAACATGCTTTTGCCATTTTATACTGTACTTTTTTATTTGTACTAGCAGCTAAACTGACATTAAATCCAAAACCAAATTGCAGCTTACCAATCATTTGATGTGATGGCTGCATTTGTTTTCTTTCTTAGCCTTTTTTCCCTCTGTTTTCACCTGGTGATCTGGCCAGTAACACACCTCCTGTATTAGGCTAGGTTCACACCTATGCAGGTTGCAGTTGAGCCGTTTCTACATTGCGTTTTGCTTTTGTGCACTTGCATTTTTGCCGTGTTTTTGATGCATTTTGCTTTTTTTTTTTGCTTTTTTTTTTTCATTTTTCTTGCTGCTAGGCAGATTTAACACGCAAAACGCATCAAAAATGCACTACACGGAAATCTATAGAAGCAAAACCGCAACTATTTGTGTTAAAAATAAGTCCCTGACCCTTTCCAAAAAAACGCACCGGGTGAAAATAAAAAAATGCAGAGATGGGAATGTGCCCCATAGGAAAACATGTTCAATGGACTGTATTGCATTTCTGCAAAACACTAAATGCTCTGGTGTGAACCTAGGGTTAGAGAGCCCCCACTCTGGAGGAAGGAACACAAGGAGCACCTTTGAACAGAAGCATTGTCAGTCTGGGGAGGGAGGGGTAGTGTTGGATCGACTAACAGATTTAAATACACAAATCAAAGCCCAACTCCAGCTAATACTTTATAATCAGTTTTCCTTTTGGGATAAAGGTTTTACATAAATGAATGAAAGCTGATCATTTTAAGCAACCCTGTCACTGTTAAATGGTTTGTCTCATCCCTGTAACTGCAAGATAGTTTGTTCTAACAACAGACTTACTGGCTGGATCACCAGATGAAAATAGAAGAAACAAAGCTTAAAAAAGAAAACTAATGCAGTCATCACATCTAAGAATTGGTGATCTGCATTATAATAAATGTTTGCTTTGAGGTTTAACCGCCTCCAGCCCGCCATATAAGGAAATGACGGGTGCAAGGATGTCATATGACATCCTCCCACTCTAACCACGCATGCGCGGCTCAGGGAGCACAAAGCGCGGCGAATGGTGATGGGCTGTGTCCCTCGGACACAGCTGATCACCGATCAACGGAAAGAGCCAAAGATGTTGGCTTGGTCATGTGATCAGCCGTGTCCAATCACAGCTGATTGCATGTAAATGAGGAAATGCCGGTTATCGGCATTTCTCTCCCCACGAGCTGTCACGCTGAGAGCTGGTGAGGAGAGGAGAGCCGGTAATCAGCATTCCTCAGAGGGGACATGTACACTGATCATCAGGGCACTGATGATCAGTGTGCCCTGATAATCAGTGTAGCCCCAGCAATGCCACCTGTCAGTGTCCATCAGTGCCTTATGTCAGTGCTCATCAGTGCACATCAATGCCACATATCAGTGCCCATCTGAGCTGCCTTTCCGTGCCACCTATCAGTGCTGCCAATCAGTGCCGTCTATCAGCTAGTCAGTACCGTATCAGTGCCAGTACCGCCTATCAGTGCCTGTCAGTGATGCCTATCAGTGCCGCCTAACAGTGCCAGTCAGTGCCACCTAACAGTGCCAGTATCAGAGCCAGTCAGTGCCGCCTATCAGAGCCAGTGCCCGTCGTGCTGCTATCAGTGCCGCCTAACAGTCAGTGCAGTGCCGCCTATCCCAGTCAGTGCCGCCTATCAGTGCCACCTATCAGTGCTGCCTTTAAGTGCCCATCAGTGATGCCTGTCAATGCCCATTATTGAAACCTACCAGTGCCTCCTCATCAGTGGGGATTAAATACCACCAAACGAAAGCTCTATCTGTCTCAAAAAAATTTATAAAAATTTAATATGGGTACAGTGTTGCATGACCGCGCAATTGTCATTCAAAATGTGACAGCGCTGAAAGCTGAAAATTGACCTGGGCAGGAAGGGGGTATAAGTGCCCTGTAGGCAAGTGGTTAATACCCCTTTAATCTTTCAAGACAGGGATTTGCTCACTTTTAGGTCCAACAGTGCTGATACTCAGAACAAAATGCTAATAGAAAGAAAAAAAAAGGAAGTAATTGTAATCCAGAGTTTACTTGCCCATGTCAGGTAATACTTTCACGATAGCTGTGTAATAGCAAAGCCAAATTCATTTTTTATAGTTCTATGTTGGTATTGAGTAAAGATCAGGAATGAGCAAAGCTCCGGCTTCTCTAATACCCCATGATGCTCAGTCAACGAGTGGATGAGTCTCATGAGACTCACAGTTCAGCAGCAGATGAGAAAATTGCTCTTCCTAATAGCAAAGTAAATCTACCATAGTTCATATGGAAATCCTCTTTGTTCTAAACGCAACACCTTTTTGACCTACAAATCTTAAACTAATGAATCTGTAATTTTTAAAGTTTTGGTGTACAAAATGAAACAGTTTTGCTTTTTGTCTAACCTAAAAGCTGAACTCTTGAAGACACAAATGAATGCAGCTCTGTAATCATCAATACATAATTAAGTGACATTTTTAAATTCAAGCCGTGTAAATACCTTAATCTGACCTTCTATCAGCCTTTTGCAGTCTCTGGAGTGTGAAAGGAAGAAGCAGTAGAAGGAGCCAATCAATTCATGTGCTGAAAAAGAAGCCGGATGATAGGAGAACGCCGAGTGCCAGAGAGATGAGCTCATCAATGTACTGCTTCTCCTTTCACTGTCCAGTCACAGGCTAAATTGGGTGCAGGACAACCTGGACTCAGATTAGGTGGGTTAAAAGCAGTAGTAAACCCAAAAATATAAATGTATTATATTGCAGCTTACTAATTATAAAACAATATGTAAACCCAACATTTCATATTACTGATATGTGCATGTTGTACCATGTACTTGTTATGAAAAAGTATCCTGCTCTCTTTGTATTGCTTCCTTTGTGTGAAATCCCTGGTGTTCCTGCCAGTCCCTCTGCTTTCCTATTAAAAACTGACCACACTAGACAAGAGAGCACAGCACGGTCAGTTCTCTAGCTGTGCTGGGAACTAGACATGTGCAATTTGTTTTGTTACAAATTTAAATTCACACATAAATTTTGTTATAGATCTGAATCTCTGAATAACAATAGTAACAAATTTCAACTAATCTGAAATGAATGTTAATGAAACCCAGAAAATTTATTTGATTGTTTGAAGCATCCAAAGTAATGTATGATTTGAACTGATTTGTGAATAGCTTGTTGTTCAGGAGCAGCCGGCCACCGCCTCCTTAACAACTATGGCTCACCTGCTGTCAATGGGATTCTCTGCTGACAGCAGAATGTAAACAAAAGAAGAGCTGGCAACAGAAAATTGAAATAAACAGCATAGGTGTCCCCACACCCAATCCATACCATACCCTTTTCAAGCATTCAGGCCAGGGAAGAGGGGGGTGGAGGGCCCCCCCCCCCAAGCCATAACAGGCCTTGTGCCCTCAACATGGGGCGGGTGTGGCTTGCTGATGGTGACAGGGGCTTCTTCCCCACAACCCTTGGTGGTTGTGGGGGTCTACGGGCAGGGCGCTCCCAGATCCCAGTTACCCCATGTGTATGGGGTACACAGTACCCCTACTTCACTAAAAAAGTGTGAAAAGTAAACAAAAACAGTAGACAGTCCTTTATTAAAAAAAACCCAAAACATCAAATATCCCCCGAAGTAAATCTAGCTTAAAGTATGATGAGCTGCGGCCGCTGGCAAAAAAAAAAAAAAAAGTGTGCACATGACACTTGCCTCCCACCATTTGATAGGTCAAGTTTCCACTGACGGTAAATAAACAATAGGGCAGAGTCACCAGTGACAGTGGTTGACCCTACCCCTTTGTTTATATACCATTGTTAGGCTCTTGCCAAATGCCAACTGATAGCTACAGCTCCTACTGCTGATGGTAAATAAAGAAAGGGTCACATGTCATCGGGTGACCCTGCACCCTTGTTTATTTACCGTTGCTGGGAACTGGAGCTGTCAGTCGCCGGGAAGCATAATGTACGCATCTTTTTTTTTTTTGTGGTTGTTCTTTCGGGTCAGCGTTTGGTGTTCATCGTGATTGACACTGGATTTACTAAGGGACTTTGTTTGTTGTTTTTTTTTAATAAAGGACTTGTCAAATACTGGATAATGTTTTTATTTACTTTTCACACTTTTTTGGTGAGTCAGTAGGGGTACTATGTACTCCTTGTTAAAGAGGGCTTCCAGATTCTGATAAGCCCTTCGCCCTCAGACCCCAAAACCACTGCTCAGGGTTTAGGGGAAGAGGCCCTTGTCCCCATCAACTTGGGGACAAAGTTCTCTGGGGGGGCCTTCCCCAAAACACCCGCCCATGTTGAGGGCATGTGGCCTGGTATGGTTTGGGAGGGAGGCATTCTCTTGTTCCACCTTCTCCTGGCCTGCTGAGCTGCATGGTTGGATAAAGGTCTGGTATGGATTTTGGGGGGACCCCATATCATTTTTTATTTAAATTTTGGCATGGGGTTTTCCTTAAAATCCATACCAGACCTATAGGGCCTGGCATATATTGGGGGGACTCCCATGTTGTTTTTTTACAAACATTTTTTAAAGCCAGCATTGCTTGTTTATATTCTGCCGTCAGAAGGGAATCCTGCTGATAGTAGATGAGTCATGCTTGTTAAGGACAGGACAGCCGGCCAGCCAGCCAGCCTCTCCTTAACAACCAGCTATTCTTCACAATGAATTAGGATGGATTCAAAAATATTGAATCCTGCCGATTAAAAACGGATATATGCAACAAATCTGTTCAACAGAACAAATCTAACAAAGCAAAATTATTTAATTAACAAATGACACAAAACTAAATGAAACAAATATTTCGGACATGCACATGTCTACTGGGAACTCAACCTACTCTCCTCCAATGATCAGACATGTCCTGACACGCCCCCCACCTTGCACAGCCATTCACTGGGAAGATCAGCATGCTTCTGCTTCTCCTCCCCCAGCTCTCCAAGCTCCTTATGCAGAGAATATAGAATATGTGACCACTTATAAAAAAGGTGTTTAGAATATTTTTTTATATGTATACACAAATGTTTTGCCTTCATGTGTATTTTGAATGGAATGGTTTTGTTTTACAAGATGAGGGTTCACATATAGACTTTTCTATTTATTGCTACTTGGTGATCTGGCCAGTAAGTCTGTTATTTTAACTTCCTTTAACAGACCAAGCTGTCAAGTTAGAGGGCTGAGACAAACCTATCCACTGGGTGGGGGGGGGGGGGGGGCGGTCTGGGTAAGGGTTACAGTGATCAGCTTTTATCCATTTATGTAAAACCTTTATCCCAAAAGTAAAACAAACATTCTGTAACTGCTTTAAACATGTTAGCTCGATCTCTTCTCTACATCTGTTCAAAGTACTGAATTATTAAAGCTTGTCTGAGTGTTCAGAAAAAGGGGGCGGAGCACTGAAGGTACACTCTGTAGGGCCCAGTGAGCTGATTGGAGGGAAGGGACACACACCCCCTCCACACGGCTCACAGAAACAGAGCTGAGGCTGTCAATTTGTTGGAGGACCCTCTCCTGTCACCATTTTTCTCCTGGTGTCAGCAAACCTGTGAGAAGTGACTCTTGTTGATAGCAGAGAAATGAGGCAGGAGCCAGAAATGACACTTAGTGCTCTGGATTGAGACCATGCACACTAAAGAAGGATATGCTTTGTTCATATTTCATGTCTGAGGTTTACAACCACTTTAAGTCCATCCAAATCTGCTATTCCTTCTAACCCTACCCTCTCCCCAGATTGACAATGGTGCTGTCCAAAGGTGTCTCCATTGCTCCTCCATCCAAAGTGGAGATGCTCTAAGACAGGAAGTGTGCTACTGGCCGGATCACCAGGTAACAATAAAAGAAAAAAAGCCTAAACAAAAGAAAATGAATGCAGCCACCACATTTAAGGATTGGTAAGCTGCACTATATTACATTTAACAGCACACTCGGCAGGCTTTGTCAAGCCTTGAACTGGACAAGAAAAGTACTTAAAAGTATTTCCAAACTATTTTTCCATGCACTTAGCATTGAAAGGTCATTAGCATTGGAAGGTCTGTACTAAAGCAGGTTGTTCAGGTTTGAGGACGTATCCAGAATCTTAACACTTTCATTAGAGGTGAGATCTGACCAGGCCTAAATGTTTTTATAATCAATTATATTTTCTACCACTCAGTTCTTTTTCTTGAACACTTTTTGAGCCGATGCTCAAGGCTAATAGTTTGCCCACTGTCCACTTTTTTTTTCACTTTGAAAAATACAGTATTTTTCATCCAGTAATACTTTCATTATTTAGAGTATAGCACATCTCTGCTTTCAATTGATAATAGAAGTGACCTGGTATAACGCGGCTGTCGGTATCAGTAGCTGTGCCAGGCAGGTCTAACTAACAAGTGAACTCATTGTACATAAAAGCATGGAGGAGTAAAAGATTAAACTTCATGCCCACCTCTTTCAAGAAGCATTCTGATGTCTGTCTGATAGCTGAACAAGTACATGCAAAGCCACCAGAATTTTTTTAAGCTTTTATAGATTCCTATTCCTCAAACTGCAACAAATGAAATACA